CCATCTGCTTCAACGTTCAGAGATGCTTTTCTGCATACCTTGGCTGTAGCGAGTGGGTGTTTGAGTTGCCATCGTCTTACTATCTGCCTGAAGCAGTCTGGGCAAACTCTTCTGACATCTGACATCAATAAGGTGTTTTCACCTGGAGAACTGCTGTTCACTTAATATTTTCACTTTTTTTGAACCATTCTCTGTAAACTTTAGCAATGGTTCTGTGGAAAAATCCAACAATTTCTGAAATACTCAGACCAGCAGATCTGCCGCCAACAGCCATGTCACTGATGCTCAGTTTGAACGTCCTCTTGGCCATGTCTACATGCCTAAATGTACAATGTTGCTGCCACGCGATTGGCTGATTAGATATCTGTCAACGACCAGCTATACCTAATGAAGTGGTCGGTGAGTCCATGGGGCAGAATGAGGTTTTTTCCCTCATAAAAAAACTGCTGTATAATAAATACAACATTTTTTTAACCTCATTTAATATTCTCTGAAACCTCCGTTTTACTTTAAGGAACATAATCAGTCCATCTGTACATCTTCTGGGATACGTTTAATCTTTTTTTCTAAGAAATCTTTAACATTGATGACACAGGAACTCCATCCATGGATAAAGTTAACAGGACACTAATGCCAATCAAGCCGTAGCACCTTTGATTTAAGCCCCCGATAAAACAAAAACCGTGACAATGGTCCCGGATAGTTTTTACACTCCAACATGATTTTGTTTACAGATTAATTCAACTAGCGTTAGCTGGTTAGCATGAGTGAGCCTGCTACATTTGTTAGCTGACGTGTTAAAACACAACACACGTGACATAATAATTACAGCACTCGTCATGGAGGGCCTACCGTGACTGTGCACAGATCCTAGCACTTGGAAAACATGCTGTTCTTAACGTGCAAGAAGGTTTTCATTAGCCTGGAAAACAAACTGTGTGCTTTGTAGCTGCTCCCAGATGTAAACATTAGAACCCGGAAGCCCTACCGGAACAAAACACAGAGTGGCGATACCCGAGAGCGCCACCTGCCGTCCACAGAGAAGAGTCCGGAGGTAGAATTCTACATCTTTTTTTA